GCATTCCTATCTTCTGTGATAACCCTAGTTCTATAAGTATGACAAAGAACCATGTTCATCATAAGAGGACTATGCACATAGATATTAGACACCACTTCTTGAGAGATAACTATGAGATTGGATTGATCACCATAGAATTCTGTGCTATTGATAAACAAATTACTGACATCTTTACTAAAGCACTGAGTAAAGAAAACTTTGAGAGGAACATGTTGGAATTAGGGATGATTAAGATCACCTAATAGGACCAGCTCAGAATGCACAATGGAAAAAATGAAAAAAAAAAGAAAAAAAATTTCATTTTGGCTAGGAAATCTGAACTTATGTATATATCTAGATTAATTTTTACTCAGCTTCATACTATAATTAGTATACTCCTGTGACATGTGTTAATATGACTCACTGATCTCTTACAAAATTTTCTCTATTATGGTAAATTGAGGCATGGTCAAGAGAATTCTAAATGAAGAACCTGATTCATCAGTATGGGTTCATCTGAATGCTAAGGTATGTTTTCTATACTCTGCACAATTAGAAATATAAATATTTAAATCATGAGCAGAAGTCCTACAATTGTTCACCTCCTTAGAAAATTCTATCAGTTTGTTTTTGAACCAGTTCCGTTAGCATTAGAACTCTAAACCACAAAATTTGCCTAAAATCTAGGGAAGCTTAACCGCTCATTCAAACGTGAAATTTCAGGTTGATTAGACCTCTAATTGACCACTGTTAAAGCTATCTTTGTACATTAAATGTGTATTTCTCTCTAAATACTATCATTACCTCCTGCCATCTTCATAATTCTAAATCGTCAAAAACCCCTCTTCACTTTCAATTTCTTTCTTCTCCAAAGTTCCAATTCCCCAATTCTCTCAAGAAATCAACGATAATGACAAACCCACAAGACAAACCTGGATTCCTCCACCACCCACTCCCTCTAATTCATCTACCCCTCCTCCACCTAGCACGTCTCCCAAACCCAGGCTGAGAAGGGTAAAAACGCTTGCTCGAAAAACAGTAGCTTCTGGGGGGGTTTTCAAAGAAATTGAATGAGAAATTAAAGGCAAGCCAGGTCCAAAACTCTGACTCTAACTCTGATTCTGAGTTATACAGATCTGCTAGTGAGGGGGAATGACCTGGGTCTTCTGACTCGGAGAAGGCTCAAGAATCCTCTTCTAAGGTAGGTTCTTCTTTGACTGAGAATTTAGAAAATAGTTTTGTTTTGGTTGGGCCTATCAGAGATGTGGAATTACCTAAGGTAAGATGGGAGTGGAGGTAAAAAGAAATCTGAAAAAGAAAAAAGAAAGAGGGTGAATGTGGTGTCGAGAGGAGAAAAGGGAAAAGAGTGGTTGATCATTCACCCACTACTGATTTATCTGTACCTGCTATTTGTGGGGTTGAACAAGAAAATGTTGAAGAGAGTGGCAAGAAGTAAGGGGGAAGTGGTTCTGGTGAAGCTGCTGAAGGATTAGTTAATCTAAGTGCACAAGTAGATGAACCTGGTTCATCAACTGAAGAGACCCTAGCAAACCTGTTGAAAAAGGTTGGGGCAAGTTATGATCCAAAGAAAAGAAGAACTCCCACACCAAAAACCCCCAGTGCTCCTAGACCCTCCAAGAAAAGAAAAGCTTCATCCCAACAACTACTGAAACTTCCTTGCCAAAGGGAAGAGCCACAAAAAGCAGGGTGAAACGGAGTGAGAGTGATCTACAAAAGGCTCTGGCTGAGAGTAAGAAGAAAAGGATGGATAAAGGAAAAGGGAAGGTTACAGAGTCCATAGAAGTTGTGGAAGTTGAGGAGATGGAACAGGTCCATCAGGAGAAAGTTACAACAGTGGAGGTTCAAACCCCCAAGCCCAAAAAGCCTAATAGCCTATTTGGCCAAGCTGGAGAAATCAGCTTATTTTGAGAAGTGCTTTTGAAAAAAGTACTTTTGGAGAGAATCAGTTTGTGTTTGGCTAATCACTCTGAAAAGCACTTTTGAGAAATAATTTGTGTTTGGCCAAGCTTTTTAGAAAGTGTTTTTAAGTGTCAAATTACGAATAAAGACATGAATAGATTTACTTAATAATTAATATTATAAGTAAATAAATAATATCAAAATTTTGTTATTACATGCAATAATTAAAAAAATAATCCATTTTATTTAAGTAAAATATGAAAATAAAATTAAAAAGTACTTAATTCTTTTAATATAAGTTAAATATATTAAAATTCCTTCAACAAATATAAAAACATTCACCATAAAGTCACTATATATTAGAAAGTTTCCTATAATAAGAAGAAATATTTATAAATTAATATCCTAAGTATTAGGTTTAAGGGTTATTTTGGTATATACTATATTTTGTTAAGGGTATTTTAGGTAAGAAGAAAAGCCAAAACTGCTTCTGCTTCTACTTTTGGAAAGAAACTACTTTTTTCTGCTTCTCTAAAACTGCTTCTGCTTCTTCCCAAAAGCACTTTTTCCCTTTGTTTGTTTTTCTTTCCTTTTGATTTTAAAATTCTTCAAAGTTAATTAATTTAAAAAAATCCTAATTAAACCCCAACTTAATTCTAATTAGAAAAAATTAATTCTATTTATATACTAACAAGTTCATGTAATTTAAAAACATTTGTTTGATTTTTTATGTATTAATTCTACCAATTAAAAAGTAATTAATTCCTAAAATAAAAATTAATCCTAAGATGGCATGAAATTAAAATGTGATAATTTTTATGGTTTTCTATAACTTTAAATATTAAATATGCATGAAAATGCAGCTAAATGCAAACAATTAAAAAAAAAATCTTAAAAATCCTATAAAAAAGCAAAATAACAAGAAAAAGTTTATTTTTGTGAATTTTGTAGGAATGTTTTCGCAAAGCAAAAATTACGTTCTCACAATTAGATATTACATTATTTAGATTTTTAGTAAACTACAAATGAGAAAGCTAATTAAATATTGCAATAAAAAAGAATGTATGAAAATAGAAGGATAAAGATAATTTTATGATATTTATATTTTGAATTAATTAAAAAATAAAAGATAAATAAATAACACTCAAAAAAGTTATTGTTAATTTAGACCATTGAAGAATTTTGAACAATATACTATAAGTTTAAAAAAAATAAAAATATTTTCATAGTAAGAAAATATATATCTATGTTATATTAAAAGATAAGTAGTATCAAAATATTAAGTCAATTGACAAGTTAATAAAAAGTCAGATTAGTAAACATATAGTACTAAGTACTTGCTAATTTAATAAAGAATAAATAAGGAACAAAGAATTAATTTGATTACTATATGATGTGTATCCTTTGATTTTGTATATGTTTATGCACACTACATTAAATAATAAAATAACAACTTAGATTTATTAAAATAATATACAATATATTAGATCATAGTTTATTATTATTATTATTATTATTATTATTATTATTATTAACAAGCAAAGTATTATACCTAAAGCACCTAGAATCACACCTTCTAGGAAGGGTGTTATAAATTCATAGGCCTCCGGCAAAAGAAACTAATTACACAACTGATGAAACAATGAACTACATCTGTAAGCTCTCTTTCAGGATCTAGAACTAATAGTTCCTTGCATCCTACAAAAAAAAAAAAAAATAATAATAAAAAATAAATAGGACTCATAAGAACTAAAAATAGAGAAATTTTCATAAATCAATATCTTTTAGTTGTAATTAGCTATCTATAGATACCATTTGTTGTATTACGGATTGTAAATATGTTTTTTGTTGTTATAAAATGTATTAAATACAGTAGCAAAAATAGGCGTGAATCAGGGAAGTCCAACTAATCAGTTGTATTCGAGTGTATTCGACTGTATTCATGGCGTGAAACATGGGATTACAGCTGGACAGATTATTATATTCGAGTGTATTCGACTGTATTCATGGCGTGAAACATGGGATTACAGCTGGACAGATTATTATATTCGAGTGTATTCGACTGTATTCATGGCGTGAAACATGAGATTACAACTGGACAGATTATTGTATTCGACTGTATTCACGGCGTGAAATAGGGGATTACACTGTTTTTAAACGAAAAGAGAATCAATTAACATAATAGACTCCTAATATAACTCAACAAACTCAATTATATCACACAAATTTTGTATTTCCCGTTATAAAAAAGATTCTCAACCGAAAAACACCCCCAAAACATAGCAATCTTCAGAGAAATTATATAATACATATGAATACATAAATTATATTAATTAAAAAAAATATATGAATGCATTCATGGAATATAGCGAGACAGTGAATACAATAAAATACATATAATACAACGGGATATATTGAAATACAATGAAAAAAAGATAATGAATACAATGAAATATATAGAAAACAGCGAGATACATTGAAATACAATAAAAATATTGACAATGAATACAGTGAAATACATGGAAATACAGCGAGATACATTGAAATACATTGAAAAATATTAACAAAAAATTCAAGTTGCTCCGTCCCCAACTCCGTCGTCTTTGTTCAAGAACAACCCTAATATCGTCTCGTTGAAACAGAATCAATATCCAGTAACTAATCCTTACAATTATTGGCTTTCGGAAGTATGTGTCGACCCTTGGTTTCGAAAGCATCGAATTACCTTTCTTTCTTGTACAGAGATGGAGTTTCAACACTTGGTTTCGTTCTTGCTATTCATCTCCTTCATCTTTCCTCTAATTCAAAAATGGAGGAAATCGAAAAATCTGCCAATTGAGAAATTTTATGGCTGATTATTACTCTCTGTGGTCCGTGGAGGCTACCTATTATTGAGAAATTTGAGGGGATATGAAAAATTTGAGGGGATATAAAAAATAATAGAAAGCTTATTTTATGGCTTAATGATAGGAGGTGACCATAAATAAATATTTAGTTATAAAAAATCAAAAAATAGCTATGGAATATAATTTTTTAAAAAGATATTTTTCACCTGTATAGAAAACGATAGTATGGCCGACCGAGGGAAAAATTGACATTTTGCTTGTTCATAAAAATGCTTTCTTATACTGATTATCTCCATGCTCACTCACGTGGCTTCTCTCAAATATAATTCTAGAAGAATCATCTTTTTGTCTCTTTTGTTCCAAGGATGGAAAAACATAGCCACTCTTTCGATTACTCTGAACTCTGAAGTACTTTTTGCGAGTTCTCTTCATATTTCAGGTCAGCTTTATTCTCAATTTTTCCCCAATTTCTTTATTTTCCCCTAATTTCTTTCAGTTCTCTTCAGACTTTTGAATTTCCCGACTGAAAATTATTGTTGATGTCATTATTAATTTGTTTAATTCTCTTTCCAATTTCACGGCTGATGTGAAAGTTTTTCAATTGTCGTCCTCGCATAACTCCAATCTTTTCTTTTATTATTGCAGATTTATTCTTCAAAAAGAAAACAGATTTGTGCCCTTCTCTCGGTTAGCTTCGCCGATGTAGCGTGTAAGTTTGTCATTTTTTTTCCTCTTTGTTTATTTCATTGTTCCGGTTATAATTTTTTTTTATTTTTAGTGGTTATTCGTAACAACTATTTAGATTGGTCATTTATATGGAACAATTTTTTTTTGTGACAGCTCAAAGTGTTGGATAAGATTTGTTCTCAAAAATTCTCCATTTGTGTTTATTATCTTTTTAAATATTTTTTAATGAGCAATTGCTCTTTTAATTCTATATGGCTTCACTTATGTTAAACAAAATTGTTTCGGCAATTCCGAAATTGAGGAAATTTAGTTCTTGAAGAGTGAAAATTTCTTTTTTATTTTAAATTATGAAAGTTTATGTGGATTGATTTACGTAAAAGAAGAGTATTCTGGCAGCTTTGGTGGTGGGAAGATTCAGTTCTTTAAAAATAAAATGTTTATCTAGCTTCTGCTCTTAGTTGTCCGCGTGCACATTGGTTGCTATGTTTGACTGTATATAATTTTACTGTTGTCTTTAGCTTAGCTGTATTTGACTACATATAGTAGAATCAAGGAGTTTCTTTTCTATAGTACTGGATGTTGTCAAATTCGAACTTCATATCCAGATGAGAGAGAAAAGGAATTTTTGTTTCTGGTTTGACATTCAGAGCATAACATCGAATAAACGAATGAAGTCGCGAATGACTTATGCTTGGTTGCACACACTGAATGATTATAATCTTCGATAATATATGTGTATTAACCATGGTGTATCCATAATTTTTAAGTCTGTTGTTGAAAAAAGTGATGCATTTTTCTCCTGCTGTTGTTTTATTCAGATCTAAAGAAGTCTCGAATTCTAAAGTTTAATGTTAAGGGAGAGAGATATCTCGAGAATTCCTTTGCCTGGGAGGAGTTTTATTTATAACTTGTGAGTTTCATCTATTTTATTATCCATTACTTTAAAAACACTTGATTACTGATTAGCAACTTTGGTATGCAATTCTGTAATTTCAACTGATTTTAAATTAATTTTTTTATTTCTCTAATAACACACTTGTCCTTCACATTCCTCCATCTAGAATTCTCTATAGCTCAGTCCTCTAACTAGCTTTCTTTCACGATTACTTTGTTAATTGTCTACCATTACTAATGAGTTCTATCAGCAATCATCTACTATTAGTATTAGACCTTTCTTGCTAACCTTTCCTGTTCCTTCATATCCTTCTTTAGGATTTGCATTTCCTTATCTCTAATCAGATTTCAAACACAGTTCTGTATTTACAATTTGGGATTGTGTGCTACTGCTTGCTGAATATGTGTACTAATTAAAAATACATCATGCAAGATGGAACACTCTTGAGCTTTCGAACTGCTGAATGAGATATTGAGGTATACCACTTTAATTGTTATTCTTTTGAAGGATTTATATGGTTTTTATTTTCTTATTTATTTGTCATCATTAATCAGTTAAAGGTCGATTCTGTACTAATTTTGAGGTATAACCCCTTTGAAGTATTACATTTTTTAAGTTGCAAACATGCGAAATTTAATAATTGCTAATCTAAATTTGATGTATAAACCTCTTTTAGATTTTTGTTTGCATTGCCAACTACTTTGCACATTGATTCCACATCTATGCTCTTAGAGTCATGATCTCCCTTCACCAAATTCTTTGTTTTTCATTGTTTCTCTTTTGATTCTTCTTCCAGACCTCCTCTTGTATGAGGTTTGAAGTTTATCCCATGATCCGAAACGGAAGCTTTTTCACTTTTACTTTCTCTATTTTATTATTTCAACTATTAAAATATTTTCAGGAGTTACATAATATGCTTGATTGGTTGTCAACGTGGCTAAAGATATCTGCTTCCCATTACAGTGATTGAGTTTAGTAATATATCTGTAAACTTCTTTCTTCTCCATTTGAAATTATTGAAAGTAGATAATAATTAGCATGTGTACTGCTGTAACTTCAACTTAGTGGGATCACTTCTGTGAGTAAAGTGCTTCTCTAGCTCACGTTATAAGTACCACTTCTCTCTTGATATCTTGATTATTGAAGTTTATCACCCTGAGAAATCTTTTCTGTCTTAGGTTATAAGTACAACTTTTCTTGTTTGATAGATCTCCTTAGTTCTCAAGTTATCATCTTCTAGAACCTTTTGAAGTTGTAAATTGTAGTCTTATAGACATACTTTGCTATTACCAACTGTCACACCTCCTTTTTCACCCACGCCCGTAGGGGCGTAGAAGGGAGTTTTTCCAATTAAAGGACAATCGAAATGAGATTTATTATTTAATTCAGAGTCGCCACTTAGGAGATTTATGGTGTCCCAAGTCACCGGTTGAATCCCGAATCGAGGAAAAGATTGACTCTGTATTACAGTCCGCGAACCAGAAATCCGAGTAAGGAATTCTATTAACCCGGGAGAAGGTGTTAGGCATTCCCGAGTTCCGGGTTCTAGCACGGTCGCTCAACTGTCATATTCGGCTTAATTATCTGATTTTATACAATTATGAACATATGTTCAGATTTTAACTATTAACCGCTTTTATTATTATCATTATTATTTTAACAGAGAATTGCAACGTGGTGAAAACGTATCTCGAACCACATCACATCAATGTACCCGTGGTTATCGACACATTTCGACTCCGTTGAGATTTGGATCTGGGTCACATAAATGTGCACCCGAGTTTAAGAAAGTAAATTATTAAAGGCGCACCTAAAGCGACTAGCATATCATTATTTTGGATAAGGCCGTGAAATTTTGCTAAATGGCCCATCCCGAGGTCTAAGTAATTTTACCAATACTTATGGAGGGCCCCGCAGCTTGTATTTTTTGGTTTGTTGAGGCTCGTCTCATTCATTATTTTTTAAGGAATTTGCAACGTCGTGGTAATGCATCTCGAATCACGTCACAATCAATGTACCCGTGATTAGCGACACGTTTTGACTTTCGTTGAGATTTGGATTTGGGTCACATAAATGTGCACCCGAGTTTAGGGAGGTAATGTTATTAAAATACGCGCTAAAGAGACTAACGCGTTGTTATTTTGGGGAAGGCCGTGAAATTCGCTAAATAGCCCGTCCCGAATTCTAAATGTTTTATTTTACCCATTCATTGAGGGCCCCGCAACTTGCATTTTTTACTCGGCGAGACCCGTCTCATCATTTTTATTTAAAGGCTGATCCCTAAGCGACTATGATTTTTCTAATTATTCTTGTCTCTAAAAATAAGGGAAAGAAATCCTAATTAATAACGACTATATTTGAGGTCAATGGGTTCACGCTACTTCAGCCAGCTTGGGCCTGAAGCACAGCCCATTTAAATGGACCAAAATCCAGGCACACACGAGAGCAAGCCAGTCTTAAGCTTGAGCCCAGGTTTACATGGGTGTTTAATTAAAACCAAACTTGGGCCTCCTGAAATGCATCGGAGTCCAGCCTATTCGAGATAGGCTGTTAAGCCTTGATCGCTCATTCAAAAATGACTTTCAAGTATTCATGGACAACTTCAAGTTATTCGTATTTCACCATTTACAACAAAGGAAAACGCGATTCACCTATTGATTGATGAAATAACTAACCTTTCTGATTTCAGCTTAAAGCTCAGATTATTTCTACTTATCTTTTGATGAGCTATTGGATACTATTAAGGTGAAAGAAAGCATATATTGAGGATGTTAAATCAATGTTCAAACGATTCAGGGTTTCATGCTAGTTTACTGTTAGTACACATGAGAATTCAAGAACTCGAAGTGATTTCCTATTTCAACTGCCTTCTGATTTTAATAATCAAATTATCAGGCACAAAATTAAACTAGCCAAACTGAAGGATAATTTCAGCTCACATTACTACATGTTCGAGAACTCTATACTAAACATACAAACTAAATTAGCCACAACCAATTTTATTTCACACTCATCGATCTAACCAATTAACAAACTCGAGATCCTCAAGCTGACTGACAGTTAGTTGCAACATATAATTCAGATTAGCCTAAGGAAATCCCACTTAACATTCCACATTATTACAACTCAGTCTATTACTCAAATCAATACCATCTTAATCAACTAGCAACAAGTGATAATTTAAACCACTTAAACTATATCAGACAACATCCAAAGTGCGGAGATATGATAGCAATTTTCATTTCATCTTCAACTTGGAGTTACATGGAAGCAAATCAAGGAAGTGTACCTGGAATTGAAACAGAGATAAAGTAGAAGAAAGATCAGTAGCAGCAGTAATGCGAGCAGCAATACAACATCAATTCACAATAGCAATTTGAAATTCCAAACAGCCACAAACAGAACCAGCTCAGCCCAGAAACATATTTTTCAATCCAGGAAGAGTTCAGAAGTGTTTTGAACCAACAAAATGAATAGATTAACCCAAAACCGATTCGAATAAACCCAAATGACCTTCAAATTGACCCTAGAAACATACCACAGTAACAGAACACTCAAACTGATCCGAGAAGGTTTCGACTGAAACCAAAAGTCTACTGGAAAACTAAGTAGAGAACAACTACTGATTCCAGTAGCTAGCAATCAATTGATTTCTTAAGGACTAGTGAAACTCCCAAGAACTCTCTCTATTTTTTGTAACACTGGCCCTCAAAAGAAAGCCCAGACCAGACTCAAAAGCTTCAAAAAGAACTGATTTTCTGCTCTAAAAAAACCAGCCCCCCTCCCTCTGTCGAAAAAGATCCTCTTAATCTGTCCTCCATGCTTTTATTTATACCACCAAAACTGACCCCCTCCACAGCCCTCTTGAAACACTTAAACTAATACCACCACCATCTTTTGCCCATGATATTCTCTTACAGCCCATTATCCAGTGTCTTGCGTCCAAAGGCATGGGCAGCTTATAATATTCAATTAATTACCAATGCTATTATGTTTCCTAAGCCACTACCACTAGACAAAGTATTAGTTTAATGGTCAATTAAGTACCCTTACGGTCAGACCACTAACACTAAACATTTCAAGCCTTTTAAAAAACCCCAAAATACCCCCTTAACCCCTGTGTATTACTGACATGCCCTAAGCTTCATCGATCTGTTTTCTAAGTTACAAACCTAATAACTGATTTTTAGCTGATCACTAAAGTACTACAGCTATAACCAATTCACAATCAAATTCAAACAATGATTCAATCAAAATTGAAGCAGTACGAATCACATTATTATCAGGTTATTTAATCAGAATTGAAGCATGTAAAACTAACCGACGACACTTATTCAATCGACTACACGAATTACAACACATACAATCAATAGCAAATAAGAATCGAACAGGCACACAGGTGATTCGAATCGTATTGATAGAAACAGGGATTCATAATAAAACTTAACTAATCGATGACACTCATTCAAATCGATTATATGGTTTTATCACATTCATTGACCATGAACAGAAAAAGTTCGACCAAATAAAGGGTCATTGAAGAAGGACAAAATCAATCATCAAAAGAAATGAAAAGTCAATAAAACTAAACAAAACAAATAAATAGATATAAACACATACAAAATGGAACCAACAAGACAGGAAAAATACCTCAAGAACTCGGACACTAGACGATCCTGACTTGGACTCTGACTCAGACCTTTTTTGAGGTCAAATGGACCTTAATCGAATGTTCTCAACTGAGAACACTTCGACTAAGGTCCATTGGACACCCAAATTCCTTTTTCTTCGGACAAACCTCAACCTTTGGTTTTCTAGGGTTCTTGGGGGTTCGATTTGGGGTTCGAGCGGTTCTGGTGTGATTCGAACCAAACCAACGGTGGTTTGGTGACGAGGGAGGTTAGGGAGATGTCTAGTATGAGTTTGGGGCCGGTTGGGGTAGGTTTAGGTTTTGCTCGAATCTTCGATTGAAGATTCGAGAAGCTGGAGGTTGATTCGAGGCAAGCGGTCAACAAATCCGTAATGAAGGTGGTCAGTGGGTGCCGTGGTATGAGTTTGGGGCTGGTTGGGGTAGTTTCAAGTTTTGCTCGAATCTTCGATTGAAGATTCGAGAAGCTGGAGGTTGATTCGAGGCAAGCGGTCAACAAATCCGTAATGAAGGTGGTCAGTGGGTGCCGTGGTATGAGTTTGGGGCTGGTTGGGGTAGTTTCAAGTTTTGCTCGAATCTTCGATTGAAGATTCGAGAAGCTACAGGCCGATTCGAGCAAAACGGGTAAGGGATTCGTGGAGAAGGTGGTTAGGTGCTCTAGGGGTGTTAGTTTCATGGTCATCGGCGTTGTTGCCACCGGCTTTCAGGCGAAGGTGTTTCAGGGCGGCTAGAGTTTGGGGGGGTTGTCTCTGAGAGAGACGATGAACAAGGGATATGGCTTAGGGGGGTGTGAGGTGAGAGGTTGGACTTATATACGGAGGGGGTGGTTTAATCCGGGCCGTTGGATCAAGCACGATCAACGGCCAGGATCAAGGAGATTAACCCATACGGCGTCGTTTGGTTTAAGTAGGGGTCGATTTGAACTGGGTAACGGGTCGGGCCAAGGAGTGGGTAAGGATGGGGTGATCTGGACCGTTGGATCAAGTCGTATCAACGGCCCAGATTCTTCATGCCCGAACGGCGTCGTTCCACCCATCTCCAAGACTGGTTGAATTGGACCGGGTAAAAGGGTATTTGGACTGGGCCTGAACTTTCTTTTAAA